TCCAGCTCCCGCAGCAGCAGCCGGGATCAGCCCTTTTGTTGTCATAGCAGAGCCTGGGGATGTGAGCTGGTCATGTTCTGCATGCTATGGCTGCATGTCAACCCAGCTCAACTGTTTCTGCTGTTGCAACTGTGTAAAAATAACTGAACGAAATGGATTGCAGATGTGATTAGCATGCGCGTGTGAAAAATCTTCCATTAAACCTTCAAACTGGAGGTTGGAGTGGCTGGGAGTGCTGGGACTCTGTTTTTTGCACACTGGCAGTAAGACCCTCTTCAAGAGCAATGCAGGAGCCCTCCTCGTATTTTGGGAGTATCCCCCAGGTTCGGGGGTGATTCTGCAGTGCTTGAAGAGCTCTGCTAGGCTGGGAATGCAGCTCAGCTTTGTGTCTCACTGGCCTTTTATAAGACAGGGGAAGTGTTTACATGTGTTGTAGCAACCCGGCGGTGTGTGCGTGGCCCTGTGGGGCTGCCTGGGTGACTCACTGCAAGGGAACTCGGGCTTGGAAACAATGTCAGATAAAGAGCCCACTTAGTGGAGCAAGGCAGAGGTCTAACAGCTCTGGTTTGAGGTAGGAGGAATACAAAGCAGCCCCGCACCCTCGGCGCTGGGCACGGGCCCGGGGCCCCTCCGGGCACCCGCGGGGTCTGCAGGCTGCCGGGCTGCCAGCCCCAGCGGCTCGGCCCGAAGCAAACCGCTTCCCCGGGGGGCTCTGTGCCCGGGGGGCAGCGCAGCTGCACGCTCCGGCTGTGAAACGGCCGGGGGGTGGCACATCGCAAATGGGCGAAAGGAAAATGGAACTTGAATCAGAGCTGAGCCTTTGTGTGGAGCCCATCGGAGGGCAGCGGGCACGGTCCCAGCACACACGCAGCCGCCGCCTGTCCTGCTGCCGGGTGTCGCTCCGCGTGGTGCACAGAGCAGAAAGATTGTTCTGCTGGTAGAAAAAGGTTCTGAGAAATCTTGTTTACCTGCTGTCTTAGTGCCAGCTGGATTCAAGCTGTCTTGGAGAACAGAACGGGTTTGCGTCTGCTGCCTGGGAGCCAGAGTTTGAACACCCCAACAGGCAGGGATGCCAAGACCCAGGAGTTTGAACTCACCCACTTCAAGGGTCAGTGTTTTCCCAGTAAAAATAGAGTAGCTGGAATGCCTGGTGTTAAAAATGTGGCTCATCTGGGTGAGTCATGAGTGAAATAAAATGCACAGACCATAGTGCCTTGCCCAGAGCGGGGATTTGTGTAGCAGCCACCCGTAGACCCAGGATGGTTCTTGATTGTTCCAGCGAGGCCCCATTGTCCTCCAGCACAGGCAGACAGGGCTGTGGCTGCAGGCACGCTCTGCCTGCCCCGGGGCAGCTCCCCTTCTCCACAGGAGAAACATCTCCAAGCAGGGAGGAGGAGACCCGTGGCAGCCTTTGGGCAGTGCCTGGGTGCAGGTGGGGAGCTACACACAAGGGATGAGCAGCAGCAACGTACTCGTCCCCATTAAGACATGCCAGAGCTGTCGGTTTTTCTCGCACCAGCTGTGCTGGGCACAAGCCAGAGCCTGCTAAACCAGCAGGAACGTTCCCTAGATGCAGGTGGGCTTCCAGTCAGGAGAGCGACCCACGGCACACGGTGCTGAAAATCCAGCAGCTGCCCTCCAGCTGGTTATCCCCGGCTCGGAGAAGCAATCAGATTGAAGAAGAGTCAGGGGAAAAAAATGCAGAAATTATACCAGGCATAGGAAAGAGAGACGCACTAATCTGGGGGCCCTCGGTGGGCCCGACAGCCCTGCAGCAGGCACATCACCCCCCATCACCCCGGCCCTGCTGGAAGGGGGCCGGGTGAGGGTTGCAGAGGATTTCCCAAGCACAGCTGGAGAAAAGCTCTTGGAAAGTCTCGAGGGCGAGGTTGGGATTGGAGACATCCTTACTTATGGGAATAGCTGTGGTCCCTCCTTGCCTCTGTGTTTGAGCAATGAGGGTGCCTCCTGGGAGAGGTGTGAGCAGACTCTGGAGTCCATGAGCGCTGCTGGGCTGGGGCCGGGGAGCAGCCTGTGGGACGGTGCGGGGGACAGCAGAAGTGTGGGTCTGTACTGGGAGAGTTAGGGTCAAACAGCCGGGCAGGAGCTGTTCTCGGGGTGAAGAGGCCGGGCTCGCAGAGAGCCCCACTGTCACCATGACAGGCGTTGGTTGCTCCAGCTCTCCCACGTACCGGGAGCTGCTGCTGGCCACGTCTTCGTGACTGGGAGGAAGAAGTTGCAGGATGCTGCCGAGGTTAGATGGGTGTGTTGCTGCTGCAGCCCATTCAGCCACATCAGAAAATTCGGTCAGAAGATAGATTTGCTGGTGTAACATGAGGAAAGGCAGTTACTTATGTGACATACGTGGAGTTTTTGATGTGGTGTTTCCTTCTGCAGATGCATGTTCTGGAGCTAGCAAGGGGCTGATAAGTATCTGAGTTTGCAGGATATGGCCTGTTTCCAGTGACAGCCGTGCCAGGCCAGAGGGGGATGCCTTTGTTCTGGCTCATTGTGTTGACTCAGAGGGAAGGAAGTAGCTGGAGTTCCTGATGTTCTTGCCTGGCAGGGCAGGGTCCCCGGGAGTCTCTGGGATTGCTCCAGCAGGTGTTGTTGTGGAGAACAGGATCCCTGCCTTCCCCGTGACGTGGATTTGTTCTGGACCGACCCGACCCTCTGGAGAGCATGTGTATTGTTTTCTCCTGAAATGGCTAATCAAATGAAGAAAACATATGTTGGTCACTTCACCTTAATCTCCAGAAAGTATTTAGGACCTGAGCTGTGATCTGGAGGGTGAAGAGCTTTCCCCAGCACAGCTCTCTGCTCTGAATAAAACCCAGAACGAAGCCCCTGCTCCAGCAGACTCTGCGTTTTGACCACAGACATTGCAGCCTGTGTCCCCTTCACTTAGCCCAGTGCTCCACAGAGCTGACTTTTTACTGTTCAAACAGTTCTCCCCAGATGCCCTCATGTTTCCAGAACTCCAGCTTGCCCAGGGAACAGCACTGTCCTGTGCTTGGGGAGGGACGAGAAAACAGCTAAAAGCATCTGGATTTCACCCAGGTGAAGCTGTGCTGGAGTCACGTATTCAATAAGCTCATGTCAGCTCTCGAGTGGTGTAAGGGGAGGAAGAGCCGGGGACGGCGGAGCTGGCCGAGCCGCGCAGCCCCTTGTCTGCAGGGGGACCGTCCTGCCCTGCCCCTGGCCAGGGGCTCGGGCTGGGGCGGCAGCGTGGCAGCGACCTCGGTCAGCCGGGGCAGCGGCACGTCGCTGCCGTGGTGGGAGAGCTCAGGGCGCGGGCGTGCAAACACGCCGTCCCTTCCGGGGCTGCGCGAGGGATCGGGGCGTCCTCTGCCGCGGCAGCACCGGGAAGACCCGCGCAGACGCAGGGCTGGGGAGGCACGGCTCCTCGGGGCCGGGCCTCGGCGGCTGTTTCGGCCTGGCCGTCACGGGCGTCCCGGCTCTGGACGCCTGCGAAGCTCGTTAGCTCGCGGCTGCGCGGGTGCAGTGGGTGCTGCCGTGCAGGCGCGACACGTGGAGCGTGCAGCCTTGCGCAGGAGATGCCGCGGTGCGTGCAGCCTCCCGGGGCACGGGGCAGCCCTGCGCCGGCACCCCAAGCCAGGGGAAGGCGAGTCGCTGCCAGCGTTTGCCATGCACTTCAAGCCCGTGGGGGGCCCCCCGGGGTCTGCCCCCTGATTTCACCGGGCCCAGTTCCTGCCAGTGTCGGCCTGGGATCCCCTGTCCTTGGGAATGGCGCCCGGCCATCCTGCTGCCCAGGCTCTTCTCCAAACCTCAGCCCAGCCGCTCGGCGCTCTGCGTGCCCATTCCGCACGCTGCCTTTTGGCTGCTGCTGATTTTCTGACAGCACTTGTCTCGGCAGCTCCATGCCTCTCCCGCCCAGCACTGTAGATTAAAACAACTTGGGCAATAAATTTCTGAACCGTGGGCTGCAGCCCCACAGCTGTGACGCTTCATACAGTGATGGGCTATTTCCAGCCTTTCCTGGGAACAGAGAGGTGATTCATTGCAGCAGGGACGCACACTATGTGCTGCTCAGATGAAAACCAATCCCACTCCGGACCTGTGCCCCTCTTCTGGGCACATGCTTGTCCTGTGCCACTGGGATCAGAAACTTGGCTGGCCCGGGAGAGTGGAGAAGCTGAATGAACTCACCCCCTGTCCCGAGTAGAGACAGCGTAACCTTGCCCACCTGGCTGCGTGAGTCAGGGCCGCCGACGCTGCCGTCTTCAGATACCCCTCTCTTATTCCCCAGTGGAGCAATGGGAAAACCAGGGCTGCATCCCACGAGACGTCCCAGCCCCACGTCTGGCTCCCGCAGGCCTTGGGAAAGCCGGGCGTCCGGCATGTGCGTGCCGGGGGGGCACGGCCGGGCGCCCGGCTCCGGACTGTGCTGCCATCTGCAGCCCAGCGCCGCGCTGGCCCCGCGGCCACCGTGGGCCGGACCCTGGGCCTGGGGGCAGCCAGTGGTCTTACCAAGAGAAGACCACCTGCGGGAAGGAAGCTGAAACGCCGTGGGCTGGGGGGACGGGAGGGGCTGTGGGCAGGCACTGGGGAGCAGGACGGGGGCTTCCCTGGGGCTGGGAGCCAGGGCCGTGCGATGGCCAGGTCCTGGGATGGAGGGGTGAGACTGTGGCAGGGGCACAGAAGGAAGGGAAAAGTCTCCAGTTTCAGTGCTGGCCTGCCTCTTCCTGCACTGCTGGAGTCGCAGATGGGTTTGGAACCAGCCCGGAGAGAGCAGAGCTGGTATACCTGAGCTTAAATACAGCAGAGCCCTAAGCTGCGGCGGTTAGAGCGGATCCCCGTTGCAGTAGTTTATCGGGGGCACTAAGGGAGGATGAGCCCAGGCCTGACGTCGCCTGGGACTGTTGGGCCGTGAGCCGTGGCTGCGGTTCTGCTCTGCGGCACTGACGGGCGGGGGGGCAGCTCCTGCGCCAGAGAGGCTGGGAGTGTGTGTCTCACTGGCTCCGCTCTGTGTCTTGCAGGATGAAGTGAAGCTCCCGTCGAAACTGAGCATCAGCAAGTCTCTAAAGGAGGGCGAAAAGCTGGAGAAGGAAGGCGAGGGCGAGGAGGTGCCTGTGGGTGAGGACCATGCAGAGGAGGACCACGTCCAGCTCTCCTCGGATGAAGAGGTGGAGATTGAAGAGATTATCGAAGAGTCACGGGCAGAGCGCATCAAGAGGAGTGGCATGAAAAGAGTGGATGACTTTAAGAAGGCATTTTCAAAGGAGAAGATGGAGAAGACTAAGCTAAAAACCAAGGAAAACCTGGAGAAGACCCGCCATAACTTGGAGAAGACCCGTCACAACCTGGAGAAGAGGATGAACAAACTGGGCACCAAGATTGTGACTAACGAAAGGAGGGAGAAGATGAAGACCTCTCGGGACAAGCTGAGGAAGTCTTTCACCCCTGACCACACCATCTATGCCAGGTCCAAGACGGCCGTCTACAAAGTGCCGCCCTTCACTTTCCACGTCAAGAAAATAAGAGAGGGTGAGGTGGAAGTGAAGGCCACAGAGCTGGTGGAGACTGGTGGAGAGGAGGGAGAAAACTCTGACCTGCTGCGTGGGGAGAGCCCCGAGATGCACACGCTGCTGGAGATCACCGAGGAGTCCGATGCGGTACTGGTGGACAAGAGTGACAGCGAGTAGGACAGGCTGCGGCGTGGAAGGGTTGTGGACGACGGCTGAACACATAATCATTCACATTTCAAGATCTCTCTCTGCCCTGGCGCCCCAGGGAAAGTGTACACACAATGCATCTTTACTACCCTGCAGAGCCGACGCCGATCCCCTGCCTGCTTGGACAAGGTGTATTTTATATTTTAGTTTTAGCACACAGAAACGTTAGGAACACGGGACTGTTTTTCTTACACTGTTAAATCCCCCTTGGAGACCATTCCTGCCGCAGGCTGCGTGAGACCCTTCTAGCACCAGACCTGAAGATGGGCTTTGAGTGACGGGGACCCGGCCCAGCCGCAGAGTGCTAAAACCAAGATAACGGCTGTACACCTGGAAAGCTCAAGCGTCCTCCATAAGCAAAGACCTGGTGTCAAGAAAGCTTCCCGCCGCGCAGCCCGCCGGCCCGGCTCCCTGTGCCGGGCTGCGCGCCCATCCCCGCGGGCTGCCGGACTCCCAGCACCCAGCACCCAGCCCGGCCGCCCCGTCGGGGGAGCGGAGGGACCGCGGCTCACCCGGCGCGCGGGAGGGAAGAGCTGGGCGAGCCCCGCCGACGGGCAGCGAGCGGGCGAAGCCGAGCCAGGCGCGCGGCACGCGGCGGGGCCCGCTCCCCGCTGCCCTCCCGAGCACCCGGTTACGCGGCGGCGCCTCGGCCGGCTCCGCCGCCGGTGCCGGCACACGCAGCACGCGGCCGGGGCCGTCGCCTCCCCAGACCCGGGACCGGCAGCCACACACTGCCCTGCCCCGGTTACGGGCCTGGCTCCCGCGGGCCCAGTGGCCACGGGCAAGTCCTTGCCGGGGCAGGGAGCGCCGCGGAGGTGGGTGCTGGACCCCGTCCCTCCGCACCCGCAGGGGCGGTGGCAGCGAGGGACGGGGGACGTGCAGGCAGCGGGGCCAGAGCAGCCGCCACCGGCTGCAGCTCGTTCCCAGAGATGGGGTGCGCTGGTGCCGCCTGGGGCTCCCAACACCGGTCCAGCACCAGACCTTGAGCATTTCTGAGCATCTGCTTCCCCGCGGGGGTCTCGGCGCGGCCCAGGCTCGTGCCCACGTCCTGCGCTTTCCTCCCCGCTTTCCCCCGCTTCGCCCCGTCCCCTGCAGCGAGGCAGCGCAGGTTGAGGGCTCGGCCCCGGCCCCCCCGGAGCCCCGGGGGCTTCTCCCGAGCCAGGGCCCGCGGGGCTCGGCCCTTCCCCGGGAGCTCAGCCGCCCTCCCGTGCAGCCCCCGGCAGCAGGGACGGCCGCTCTCGCTGACATAACCGAGTATATAAACTTGCTTTTCCTCTCTGAATTATTTCCCTTCTTACTGTCTAGCGCATCCCGCCTGGCCCCGGCCCCACGGTCCCATCCCGGGGTCTGCACCGGTGCCCGGGAGGAGCATCCCCGGGGCCGCGCCGCCGCCGACCCCGGAGACGGTCCCGGCGCCGGTGCCGGTGCCCAGTGCCCGGTGCCGGTGCCCGCCCGCGGCGGGCTGGGGGGCGGCAGCGGCGGCGGTTCCCAGAGCAACGTGGGCCCCGGGCCCGGGGGTCGCCCGCCCCTGCAGAGCCTCCCGCGGGCCCACGGGCGGATTCCACGGAGCCGCGCGGCGGGAGCCCGGACGAGCCCCCGGCCGCGTCCCGGCGAGCAGCGCAACTAATAAAGTCTCTTTTCTAAACCACCAGCGTGCGGCCTGTTCGTAGCGCCGGGAGCGGCGCGGGATGCCCGAGCCGTCGGGGGGAGCCCCGGGCGCGCGGCGCGCGGGCCGGCCCCGTGGTGCTGCCCCTTTAAGAGGCGGTGGCGGCCGCGGGCCGCGCGGTGACGTCAGGGCGCTTCCCGGAACTCAGCTGGGTTTCCCGCACGGCCGTTCCCGGCAGCCGCCGCCCCCCCCCCCGCCACACCGCCCCGCGCCGCCCCCTCCCCAGCGCCGCCCTGCGGCGGGAGGCGGCGCCGTCCGGGAACAGCCGCCGCGGGGCGCTGCCCGCGCCGCCGCCAGCCGTGACGAGCCGCGGGGCGGCCGCCGCTGATTGGCCGTCAGGGCCCGTCCCTCGCGGGGCGGCGGTAGCGCCGCGCCGCCATTGGCCGCGCCGGGCGTGACGCGAGCGGGCGGGGCGGGGCGGGGCCGGGCGGGCAGCAGGTTTCTCGTCACTCGGGCAGGGTCCGGACGCGATCGCCGCCGGCGCCGGGAGCCGCCGCCCCGCCCGGGACCGCCGGTGAGGGGGGGGGCTGGGGGGTGTCGGGGCGGCGGGCCGGTTCCCCCCCCGGTGCCTGCGGGGCCGGGGTCTTTCCCGGGACCCTCCCCCGTCGCGTCGGGGCCCGGCGCTGCCGCCGGTTTCGCTTTTGGTGGGAGGCGGCAGCTCGTCCTGCTGCGGCCTGTCCCGGGGAGCCGGTGCCCAGCAGCGGGCGAGGGCAGCACCCCCTGCTCCCGGGGAGGCGTAATGAGAGAGGTGCTAATTAACCTAATCCTCTGGTTTTACAGCAAACGGGATTTCTCTCCTTCCCACGGCTCCCGGCCGTCCCGGGTGAGCCCTGGCGGGGCCGGGGCAGCAGCCGGAGCTGGCGAGGCCGAGCTCTTCGTCTGCCCGCCGGGCCCCGGCGCGGAGCTGGCTCTGTCGGCGAGGCGCGTGTGCACCGGCAAGGGCTGGGAGGCCTCGGGGGGCTGCTCGGGGAGGGAAGAGCCGGAGGGTCCTGCCCCCGGGCGGGGCGAGGCTTGGGAGACCTGACCCACGTCCCGAGTGGAGGTGTGAGCTCAGGGCTGCAGCTTTGCCCCCCCGGGTAGGACGGCCGGGGGCTCCGGCCCGTGCCAGGCTCCGCTTCGGCCAGAGCGGCCGAGGAGCGGGTGCAGAGCAGAGCTATCGCGCTGCGCGTCTCGCGTGGGTCTGTGAGCCCCGTGGCCGAGCCGCCCGAGTGCTCTGCGGGGGCTGGCACTGCTCCTGCTTGCTGCCAGCCTGCGCTCTGCCCCCCTGCACCGCGCTGGCCCAGGGCGTGTGGGACCCCCGCTCCCTGGGCTGCCAGGGCACAGCCCTGTGTTCCTGCTGGGGGGCACGGCCGTGTGGGGCCGGGGGGGTGGGCTGCCCGGGTCCCCCCTGCATCTGCAGGGGGCTGGCCTGGCCTGTGTCTGCACCTCGGGACGGTTGACCCCGTTCCCACCCTCACGGTGGTCGCCGTTGCTGCCGCTCCCCAGCGCAGCCTCTTCTGCCCTTTGCTGTGGATCCGCCGGAGCTGCTGGAGCGGCGGCGGCAGAGGATGGGGGGGGGGGGGTGGCTGGGCATCCTCTGCCCTGGGGGGGATGGTGACAGCATCACGCACGGCTCCTGCAGCGGGAGTTCCGTGTTGGGATGGACCCTGGAGAGCTGCTGAGCTGCGATGAGGAACAGCTGGCTGCGGCGTGAGGGTTGATCAGGGAACTCGGTGCTGTGGCTGCGAGGTCACCGCGAGCTTCCCTCTGCCCTGTGCTGTCCCCCTCTTCTCCCTCTCCCAGTCTCTGCATCGCTGCTCCCTTTTGCCACCTCCAGGACTGGCTTTGAAAGCTCTCCAGAGGAGTCCGGCCAAGTTCTCCTAAGAGCCTTTTCAAAACTTGCTCTTGTGTTTGTCCGGAGCAATTAGCTGTTTTGTTGTGGAAGCACAGTTTTTCATCAGCCTGTTGATGGGTGTGTGGGAGCGGGAGCAGCGAGGCGGCTGGTGTCAGCGCAGCGGCTGCTGGAAAGCGGGGGCTGCCGTGAAGTGTTGCTGGCGTCTGTCGCGAGGCTGCGAAGCTCCTGCGGTGACAGCTCTGTTGATGTGACCTGTGCAGCGCTGTCGGTATCTGGGCTTCACCCTGCTCGCGGCGCTGCGGGGGACCAGGACAGCCACAGTCTCCTTCCAGGCCCCTCTCTGATGACTCTCCCATAGGTGTTGCCCCGGGGGTCGTTGCTTGTTGTGGGGGTGCAGGCGAGGGGTGTTCCCAGGCGTGTCCCAGAAAGGAGAAGGCGGATGGAAGGCAGCTGTGGGATTGCTTCCAGGGTGTGCAGAGCTGTCCCGAGCTGCCAGTGACGCTGCACAGCTCGGGCCCAGCTCTCGTGCTCTGCCCTTGCAGAGGAGCTAAAGAAAGATGAACTTTAGCTCTCGAGCTACTTTTAGCAGCTTTACTCTGAGCTCTGGACAACGTGTTTACCCCTGGGCTTGCATCATGCTGCGCCTGGCCCTGGCCGGGTTGGTTGCTCCCTGGCTCCGTTCCAGAGACGGGAAGAGAGGCTAACCGCAGAGACGGGCAAGCCCAGCGCAGTCGGAAAGGTTCAGCCCTCAGATCTTTCAACCCAGTCAAGGGGAGGCTTCCCGGCGGTGGGGCTGGCTGGGGAGAGGCTCCTGCACGGCGGTTTGGGGCTGGCGGGGTCAGAGCTTCCCTATCGCTGGTGACTGTAAGGAGCGTCTCGGGGACCCTTTCCCTCTGTGATGGCCGCTGCTCCAGGCTGCCGGGCTGCTTTCTGTTGGTGCTGAAGGAGGCGATGTCTCCTCTCAGCAGCTTCCTGACTGCTTCCTGCTCCCGGCCCGTCCTGCCATCCCCCATCCTCCCTGCCTCTGGTCGGCTGCGTGACCTCTGTCACGGGGCCCCCTCCCCGGGCTGCGTGCCCCCCCCGTCAGCCACTGCTCCAGAGCTGTCTCTCCTGGCTTGAGCCCGTGTCACAGCAAAGCTCAAAGCTCTTCCCAGCCCGCTGCTCTTGTGGCAGCACATGGAGGGTTTGCCACGTCAGGCTCCGGTCGAGCTGGGGGCTGTAAAAACTCAGCTGCGATCTGCTGCTTCTGCTGAGAGATCCCCTGAGGCGGGGGCTGGATGCAGCGGAGCGGCTGGGGATGGTGAGCGGAGGCCGTGCCCTACCCTGGGCTGCTGCAGGCACAGCTAGCAGGCAGCGGCCGTCCCTGCGTGCTGCCGCCCCGCTCCCACGCGAGGCGAGCCTGCCGTGGTTCCTCTGCACCCGTGCCTGTGGTCTGCAGTGACTTCCTTTGCTCCCTCGGCCGCTCGCCGTGCGAGGAGGTGCCTGTGGTGGGAAGAGGCAGAGCAGCTCGTGTTTCGCTGCGCGCTAGTTCTGTTTTTCAGGGATCGGCAGGACGGTGTGCGGTGCTGGGGCCCGGGCAGGGTGCCGGCTTCCTGCGGCCGCGGAGCATGCGCTGCGGCAGGGAGGATCTGGCGCCTGAGCGGGAGCCCCGGCTGCCCCGGCGGCTCGTCCTGCGGCTGTTGGTGGCGGTGAGAAGTGGCCGATTCCTGTCCGAATGCTGCTGCCGCGCGGCGGCCCGGGGGCTTTGCAGACTGGGGCTCTGGTACTGCCCTGAAATGCCCAGGTTGTGGCTTTCCTGTGGAATAGCTGCTGGGATCGAGGGTGCAGTGAAGTGGCATCTGGTTCAGCTGCTGCAGCCTGACGGGGCGACTCTCCATGAGCGGCGGCTGCCGTGGCAGGCAGGGGACTCTGGGGGCTTGTAGGTTTTCAGCTCCTGCCTGGCCCCTGTACTTGTTGGGGTTTTTCCCCCCAGACGCAGCACTGTGTGGCTCACGCTGTAGTAGGAGCCTCCAGCACCAAGGTAAAAGGGCGGTGGGTGGAGGGAGTGCTCCACGTGCTGCTGCAGCTGGACAGATGGCCAGCAAAGAGCTGAATCCACTGCAAAATGGGGGCTTTGATGTGATGCCCAGTACGCAGCCATGAGCCGTGGCTAATGGCCCAGACTTTCTTGGACTGCAGTCACAGAAAGCAAAAGTTCTGGGGCCGCAATGGCCCTGTCACATCAAGCCAGGCCTTACTCGAGGCTGAAGCAGCATCTGTTGTTTGCGTGGGCCAGAGTCTCTCTCCTCATCCCTTTCGCTATTGCCCCATTGAAAACAGGCTCGGTTCACAAGGTCTTCTCTGAGGATTGCACCAGAGGGTTGTCGTTCAAGGTTAATGTCCTGTGGATGTTGCCTCTGTCTTTGGGGCTATTTGATGCTGTGAAGTTCTAAAAACCTCTTTAACTCCATGTCAAGCACCAGTGTCTCTGCTCCCCATGTGTCAGTCCACAACAGGTTGTTTCCCCCTTTCTCTCCTCTTACAAGAAGCATCCAGAAAAATGAGGAAGTGTCGCATGCGGCAGAGATCAGAAGAGCACGACATACAGCCATGCTGAAAGTGTCAGGTGTCAGCAGGCTCATACGTGGGCCCGTCTTGGAGAAGCTGCTTGTGAAACTCATCTCTCGGTGCTGTGCAGCCCCCCGGCAGGAGCGGGGACGTGGGACACGGGACCGGGGGGTGGGCAGCCACAGGCAGTGGCACGGTGCCCCTGGACCCTTCTCGTGCTGCTCCAGATCTGCACAAGCACCCAGCTCTGTGCTCCCAGCAAGGCTCAAAACTCCTGTCGGATGCTGCTGTGTGCCCAGGGGAGTCTTACTTGCCCTTATGGCTTCTTAAATACCTGTCCTGGCTAGTGAAAGCCAGCCTGGCTCCTTCCTGCGTGGAGCAGCTGCTCTCGCTGGGGGCCTGGGTTCGGTCCTTGTGTCTCTGCCCGCTTCCAGCCCGTCCCGGGGCCCAGGGCAGGGCAGCCTGGTTCGCTGGAGGGGAATAAATCCCATCTGGAGGTGTGGCACAGCCTTCCTCCCCTCTGCCTCCTCGGAGAGGAGCCTCCCAGCGCCGCTGCCGGCACCTTCCCAGACCTTCGCAGCTCCTGGCACGTTTGCTGGGGTTTCCTTCACGCCGGCTGCTCGGGGTTGCTCCCGCCGACGCCGCGGTGCGCTCCCGTGCTGGTGCTGCCGCGGGATGGAGCGCGGTGCCCTGAGTCACGCCGAGCCCGGGGCCAGCCGGGGGCTCGTGGCCAGTGCTGGCCCCCTTGCCCGTGCCCTGCTCCTGCCAGCCTGGCCGCTGGCACGCCGGCGGCACGGCCGTCCCCAAACCTGAGCTGGCGTGTCGCTCGGTGCAGTGACCTTTGGGAAGAGCAAACAGCTTTCTGCAGGGAAGTGACTCTGCTGGTGTGGAGCAGAGCTCCGGGCCTTGGCTCCCCGGGCGCAGCTTGCCATCCCCTCGTTAGCTTTGGTTTGATTTCCATCGATACGCAAGTTGCTAACTCGAAAATTGCTCCTTCCTTGTTTCTGTTGTTTCCTGGCAGTCTCCGCCTTCTGCACTTACTGGCATGCCTCTGGCTGGAGGGTGCCTGGGAGGCAGTGGCACCAGATAAAAGCCTTGTACCTGTCGTGGCTGATCTACATGCCCACGACCCCTCCATCCCCCTGTGGCAAGAAGGTAGGAGAGCTTTGGGAAATGGTGCCTCTCTCTAGGAGAAAGCTTTGCCGAAGGCAGGCACGTAGGGAGTGTGCTCTTGTGCGGGGAAGCTCAGTGCTCACCAGGCTGAAGCCAGACAGATGGAAGCTGAACTGAAGCTGAGCCCAAAGCTGCATTCCCTGTGCTCGGGGAGCTCCTGCGCAGCTCTGCGTGGGTCTGAGGGGTTCGATGGTGGTACGAGCTGCCTACGACGTAACTTGTAACCCTGGTCTGACCCTGCGGTGAGGAGCAGCGTGAAGCGAGGCTTCCTACCTGGCTGGGTTTGTAAGAGTGCCTGCGTCTGAACCGACGTGCCTGGGGCTTTGCCCAGCCCCGTGGGTTGGTGCCTCCCCGAGCCCTGGGGGTCTGAGGGCTGAGAGATCCTCGGCAGGGCTGGGAGCGCAGGAGGGCTCGGCTCGACAGCCGGGGGCTGCCTGCTGCGCTCACGAATTGCAGTGCAGATGGCCACCGGCTGCCAGTGCCAGCACAAGCTCAGCTCTTCTGATCTCAGATGTTTCAGATTAATTTCATGACGTGATGAAAAGAGAATGAGTCAGAATCTGGGCTTTATTCAGCTTTGCAGGAGGGGCAGCTGGAGCGAAACCTTTCTGCCACTGCTCTTCTCAGGAAGCGCGCCCGGGCTGGGCTGGGGCTGAAGCCGCCTTCCCCACTTGCCTTCGGTTGGATTTCGAGTTGGCCTTTGCTTTTCGGTGCTCTGGCTGCTTTGCCACTCGCCCTGTGGGCAGGAGAGGCTGCGTGGCTGCGGCCGGCGGCTCCGGGGCCGAGTGCGGAGGCGCAGATGTCGGCTGGTGTGAAAAGGGCTTTTCCCCTCGCAGCCAGGCTGGTTCCTTCCCCGGGCGTGTGTGCCGTTATTCCTGCACGAATGATGCAGTTTCGGTCTGTGGTTTTGCCTTCCCTTGTGCCAGGCCCACCCACGGGTGATGGCAGCGGCCCTGGCCCTGCTAGCCGGAGCCGGCCTGGAGGCACAAACCGGTGCTGGTCCCGGGGCTGCCAGCTCGGGGTGGGTTTTGCTGAAGAGGACCCCGCTCCTGGTCGTGGGGTCGGCTCCGCAGGGACGCCGGGCCTGGGCTCCTGCCTCGGGGCGTGCAGGAGCTCTGCGGTGTCGTGGGCCCAGAGCTGCTCGTGCAGGCGCTGCCCCGGCCCCGTGCTGCCCTCGGGCTGACGGGCACCGCCTGGCCCTTGCCCGCTCCAGCCCTCCCGGAGCCGTGTGCCCGGGGCTCGCCGTGCCCCGGCTGGCTCCGGTTCTGGCCCCGTCAGCCCACCCGGAGGGCAGCAGCGGTCGTGGCTGGGTCCTGCTGGACGCTGGCAGGAGGGAGCTCGGAGGCTGCCGGGTGCCAGCTCCGAGCAGCACGTGTGCCCGTCCCGGCAGGGCTCCGGAGCTGGCCAGGATGGCGCAGTGGAACCAGCTGCAGCAGCTCGACACGCGGTACCTGGAGCAGCTCCACCAGCTCTACAGCGACAGCTTTCCCATGGAGCTCCGGCAGTTCCTCGCCCCGTGGATTGAGAGCCAGGACTGGTAAGGCCTTGCGAAACACCGACGTGGGGACTTTGCTCGGGACACCCACCCTCGGGTGGCAGCAGGCGCTGAGGCGGCCTGGAGGAGCTCCCCCACCTTCCCGGGGCTCCTGATGCGGCCGGACGGGTCCTTCTCCCTGGGGGGGAGCGAGACTCGGTGTGCGCGGTGCCGGACCCCAGACCAGGAGGGAGGGGCAGCTCCCAAGCGGAGGGGTCCCTGTCCAGGGCTGACTTACACTGGCCTCTGTTGTAAACGGGGTTGACGCAGAGCACCTATTCCCGGGTGCCGTGCGGAGGGCCCGCGGGACCGGTGAGGTGCTCGTGTGTGCAGCCTGCCTGGCTTAAGGCCAGACTTTAAGCCCGGGTCCAAAACCTCTGTCACCCTGCCCTTGCAGGCCCAGCCCAAAGGCTCCGTTTATCGGTGTGAAGCAAGTCAGGCCTGCTCCAGCCCTTGCTCTGGCGCAGGTTAGGAGGGTGGCTGGCGTGTTAAGTAGCCCGGAGGACGGCGGGGGTGGGCAGAGCGGCGCTGCCGTGCCCCTTCCCCTGCGCCGGGCGCCCAGAACCTGCCCTCTCCCGTGCAGGGCGTACGCCGCCAGCAAGGAGTCGCACGCCACGCTGGTGTTCCACAACCTGCTGGGGGAGATCGACCAGCAGTACAGCCGCTTCCTGCAGGAGTCCAACGTCTTGTACCAGCACAACCTGCGGCGCATCAAGCAGTTCCTGCAGGTGGGACGGGGAGCGCCGCTTTGGCGGGGGGAGCCGGTGGAAGGCCAGCGGCTTCCTGGGCACGGCTCACGACCCGCGGCCCTGGAGGGGGCGGGGGTCCCCGGGGTTACGGTGTGCCTGCTAACCTTGGGGCTCTGAACCTTCTACAGAGCAGGTACCTGGAGAAGCCGATGGAGATAGCCCGCATCGTGGCCCGCTGCCTGTGGGAAGAGTCCCGGCTCCTCCAGACAGCTGCCACCGCGGCCCAGGTCAGTGGCTGGGGGGGCCCGGGGCCTCGGGCCCGCCCTGCGGCGCTGTGCGGGTCCGCGGTGCCGTGGGGCAGCTGCAGCCCCAAGCCCCCCGCTTGCTTCCTGCGGTAACGGCGGCCGCTCTGCGCGGAGGGACGGCCCAGCTGCGGGGGCTGATAACTTCTGCTTTCCGGGCAGCAGCTGCTTCCCGCCAGGATGCAGCCCGGGTGCTCTCTGCCAGGGGTGGCTTTGTGCATCCGTCTCCCTCTCGCCCCTTGTGTGGGCTGTCCCTGCGCCCTGCACCTTGCTGGGCAGCCCTGGAGCTAACGCTGCACTGGCTTTTGTTAGGGAGGGGGCTGAAGGCCCTTCCTGCAAAACCTCAGGCTGGGAGGGGAGCACCCCTGGGTCACGGCCCCGTTCTAATGCCCCCCTTGTCCCCTCTGCAGCAAGGGGGACAGGCAACACACCCGACAGCAGCTGTAGTGACAGAGAAGCAGCAGATGCTGGAGCAGCATCTGCAGGATGTGAGGAAGAGAGTGCAGGTAGGTGTGCTGCCTTGGCACCTTCTCTCCCCACCTCCCTGACTTAGCACTTTGAATAAATCCACGTCTTCTGCCTCACAGGATCTGGAGCAGAAGATGAAAGTGGTGGAGAATCTCCAGGATGACTTTGATTTTAACTACAAGACTTTGAAAAGCCAAGGAGGTAATGGGAGGTCATTAGCATCTGGCAAACCAAAGAGTGTTCCTCCAAGGAAGCTTGCCGGAGGGCGTGTTCCAGCCCTCTCCAGCGAGGAGGGTGGCTCGGGATCAGGGTGTTTGCATGGCAATTGGGGAAACTGTGTCTTCTGTTCCTGCCGCTGACGCTGCCTCTGGGGGAGTTGAACCAGAGCTCAGTCTGTGAATAAAGAAATGGCGTGTGAGGGTGGTGGCCTGCTGTGCATGCAGGAAAGCCAGCAAGGTGCTTCGAGGCTGTTCGAGATCGAGATTGCTGCTTTGAGGGCTTTTGGGGATGCCCGCTCCTTTGTGGTGGAAGTCGTTTGTTTGTGTGGTGCCTGGGAGGGCGGGAGGGGTCCATGTGCATGGCTGAAGCTTTCTCACCTCTGCACAGACATGCAGGACCTGAATGGAAACAATCAGTCGGTGACCCGGCAGAAAATGCAGCAGCTGGAACAGATGCTCACAGCCCTGGACCAAATGCGAAGGGTATGGCGTGCAGCTGGCCCCCCCCACCCCCCTGGGGTGCCGGGGTGCCCTTTTTCTGGGGTATGAGTTCAGTGTTCCTGCATGGCCAGAACCACGAGCAGTGCAAACGCAGCCCTGGGCGACTTCTTTCTTGTTTGTGAATATGAAACTTGCAGGTCTCGGAGGGAGTCAGAGGGTGTTGAAGGTTCTGCTTTCCTTTTTGACAGGGTATTGTGAGCGAGCTGGCTGGACTGTTGTCAGCCATGGAGTATGTGCAGAAGATGCTGGCGGATGAGGAACTGGCGGACTGGAAGAGACGGCAGCAGATCGCCTGCATTGGCGGCCCACCAAATATCTGCTTAGACCGGCTGGAGAACTGGTAGGAGCTGGCGGGGGGTGGATCAGTCCCTGCAGAGGTGCATTCCAACACCTGCAGCGCGCAGGAGCGCTCTGTCTCTGGAAACATCTTTGCAAAATGGCTTCTGATGCCTGCGAGCGTAAACGTGATCCACTAGCCGGGCTGATCCTCGATGGTGGGCACCAGTGCTGGGATGGTTAGCCCCAGGCCTGTGGGATTCTGAGGCTGCTCTGAGAAGTTCCTGTTCCTGGTGTGTCTCTGTAGAGCTCGGGTGTGTGCAGGTTTCTTTTGTAATGCATGGCCTAGAAAAATGCCCTGCTCTGAGAGCTGTAGACACGTTCTGTTCTCCACTGGCTTGGGATGGAGAGCGTCCCCACTCACACAAGCCGGGGAAGAGGAGGGCTCTGCAGGCTGGCACCGTGCCGGGCTCGGCAGCCAGAGCTAACCCGGGTTCTTCCTGCTCCCCTAGGATAACCTCTCTTGCCGAATCACAGCTACAGACCCGGCAGCAGATCAAGAAGTTGGAAGAGTTGCAACAGAAAGTGTCCTACAAGGGCGACCCGATCGTCCAACACCGGCCCATGCTGGAGGAGCGGATTGTGGAGCTGTTCAGGAACCTGATGAAAAGGTGCCGAGGGCTGGGGGGGAGCGTCGGGCAGTCCCCTGGTCACAGGCAGTGGGTGGAGGGGTGGGCAGTCGGCGCGCTGGGCCCGGCCTGAGGTTTGACTCTGGTTCTTGTGCCTTTGCCCTGCAGCGCTTTCGTCGTGGAGAGGCAGCCCTGCATGCCCATGCACCCTGACCGGCCCCTCGTCATCAAAACCGGCGTGCAGTTCACCACCAAAGTCAGGTGGGTCGCTGGCCCCTGCGATCCCGCCGCGCTGCAGACTCCCTCCGGGGGAGGTGGTGGTGTGGGTCCGGCTGCCAGTTTGCCTGGGGGGTGCTGGTGCTGGGGGGGAACGAATCCCAGCAGGCTGGCCTGGCTGGAGTGCTGCCCGTGTGACTCGGGGGGGGGGATGGCGGCTGCTGGCTGCGGCTCTGCCGTGTTCCTGGAGGCCGCCGGGGTTCTGGTAAGTCCCGCTGCGGGGGCGGGCGGCAGGAAGCGTCGGCGCGGCCCTGGCCGGCTGCCTCTCACTGTCCCCTGTTCCCCGGCACCGGGCTCTGCCTGGAGCTTCTCCACCACGTCCCCGCTGCGGCCCCGCTGTCCCCGTGGCCTGCGGCAGCGGCTGCCCGCAGAGCCGCGTGGAGGGCGTTTGTTCGAGGCCGGTGCGGGCAGCCAGCAGCCAAACCGAGCCCTCCTTGGGGTGCTCGGGGAGCATCGGCGCCGCCCCGGGCCTGGGGCTGGCACACGGGCCCCGGGGTGCCGGAGGGGCTGGGTGAGGCCACGTCCCCGTGAACTCGGCGGAGCGAGCCGGGGTGCTGCCTGCTGGGGGACGGGCGCGGCGCCGCTGCCCATCCGGCTGTTCGGCAGCCTGCGGCAGGGGCTGCGGCACGCTCACGCTCTGCGTCTGCTGGCTCTTTGCAGGTTGTTGGTCAAGTTTCCAGAGCTGAACTACCAGCTGAAAATTAAAGTCTGCATTGACAAGTGAGTCCTGTGCTCTGATCCCGGCGGCGTTGGGTTCCTGGGGCGGGACTTGTTCCTGCTGCTGTTGGGTCAGGCTCCATCCCTGCAGCGAGGGCCAGCGTGACCCCCGGTAGAAGGGGAGGGTGCAGGGTGGTGCTGGGCCCCAAGGGCTCATTCCCGTGTCGGGGGACAGCCGTGGGGGGGTTGTGGGACCTGATGTTGTGACGCAGCCAGCCCCACACACCAGCTTGTCTGCATCAGTCAGAAGGCCAGGGCCATGACTGCGCGTGTGTCTCCCCTTTCCTAGGGACTCCGGGGATGTTGCAGCACTTCGGGGGTAAGTGCAATGTTTGGTTGTTCTTGGTTTGTTTTTTGTTTTTTTTTTTTTTTTCCCTTGCTGCTGCTTTTAATCCTGGCAAACATCCTACCACACAGTTGATCTGAGAGGGTCCTGTCAACCACGCTCTGTCTTTCCTCTTTCAAGGTCCCGGAAGTTTAACATCCTGGGGACAAACACCAAGGTCATGAACATGGAGGAGTCGAACAACGGCAGCCTCTCGGCTGAGTTCAAGCACCTGGTAGGTACCACCAGCCCTGGGCTGCTCCTGCTGAGGCTGTGTGCTGTCGCAGTGTTGCTTCAGCCTGTTCCTTCTCTCGGCAGACCCTGCGGGAGCAACGGTGCGGTAACGGCGGCAGAGCCAACTGCGATGTAAGTGCTGGGGGTGGGAGGGCCCTTTGCCGGCAGCCCTGCTCCCCATCTCGCTCCCAGTCGAGCAGCTGAGCCCCGCGGGGAGGCAGGAGCCCTGCCCCGAGATGGGGGGTCTGCAGGGACCCTCTGGCGCGTTGGCAGCTGCCAGACCAGCCCTCCCCACCCAGGCCCAGGCTCTGGGCAGCAGCGTTGGGCCGGGTGGCCATGTGTCGGCCAAGGGCAGGGGTCTCCAGCGTGCTCAGGGTCCTCCTCCGCCCTAGGCCTCGCTGATAGTCACCGAGGAGCTGCACCTCATCACCTTCGAGACAGAGGTGTATCACCAGGGGCTGAAGATCGACCTGGAGGTGAGCTGTGGGTTGCTGCCTGTCGCTGCCGTGGGCCTGGGTGCAGAGGAGCCCTCGCAGCCCGTGCTCACATCCTGTCTTTGCAGACGCACTCGCTGCCTGTGGTGGTCATCTCCAACATCTGCCAGATGCCCAATGCCTGGGCCTCCATCCTGTGGTACAACATGCTGACCAACAACCCCAAGGTAGGGCCCGGCGCTGCGGGGGGGCTGCCAGAGCAGCAGTGCAGGCTTGGGGGCCCGAGCGTCTCAGCAGGCAGGCTGCAGGCAGCGAGAGGGAAGCTGGGGGCTGGGAGCAGGGCTGGGGTGGCACCTGGCCCTGCTTCTGTTCCCCCGTCCCACTCAGGGCTGTGTCTTCCCTCGTGCAGAACGTGAACTTCTTCACCAAGCCCCCCATCGGGACCTGGGACCAGGTGGCAGAGGTGCTGAGCTGGCAGTTCTCCTCCACCACGAAGCGCGGCCTCAGCATCGAGCAGCTGACAACGCTGGCAGAAAAACTTCTAGGTAACCTGGTGCGGGTGTCCCGCTCGTCCCTGCCCTCCCTCGGGGTGGCTTCCCGCCTGTCAAGGCAATACAGGAGCAAAGTCGTGTTGTTTGGGAGGGGAGTTATAATTTTCAGTTGCTCGGTCTTCTCCCAAACACCGCAAGCCTCGGATTGCTCCCCAGGAATGGTGGTGTTACTGGAAGAATGGCTCTATCTAAATGCTGATGCTCTTGTTCTCTGCCAGGGCCCGGTGTGAATTACTCCGGCTGTCAGATCACCTGGGCCAAGTTCTGCAAGGTATAGCTCCCTCTCTTCCCCAGCGTGCCTTCCCTTGGCTGTTCCCTTCCTCCAAGCCTTGCTCACAGCCCCTCTGTGCTCTTCCTTAGGAGAACATGGCTGGCAAAGGCTTCTCTTTCTGGGTCTGGCTGGACAACATCATTGACCTGGTGAAGAAGTATATCCTGGCGCTGTGGAACGAAGGGTGAGCCTCAGCCAGCGTTGGTCCAGAGACCCTTGGTTGGGCTGGGCCTTGGGAGGGGTCCCGTGAGCCCTGTCCTGATGGAGCGGGAGCCTGGTCGGGTGCAGGTGGGCTCTCCTGGGCTGCTTTTTCTGTCCAGGCCCTGTTGGCTGGGTCAGAGTGAAAACCCACCTGGGATCTTTAAAGTGTCAGTGGCTCTGCCGGTGGCCGGGCCGGGTCCCGCTGCTGCCTGATGCTGTGCAGAGAGCTGGCAGGTTGATGTCTCGGCGTAGCTGCCCCGGTACCCTGACCCCCCCCCCTCGCTCCTGCTGCCCAGGTACATCATGGGGTTCATCAGCAAGGAGCGGGAGCGAGCCATCCTGAGCACCAAGCCCCCGGGAACCTTCCTGCTGCGGTTCAGCGAGAGCAGCAAGGAGGGTGGCATCACCTTCACGTGGGTGGAGAAGGACATCAGCGGTACGTTGCTCTCCCCTCGCCGCCCTGGGTGCGGTGCCTCGCGCAGCCAGCGTTCCTGGCTCCGCAGGGGCCTTGGATCCCCCTGATAAGACGCTTGTTCCTTGTCCTGACAAGCCCTCTGCCTCGGTTAGCTCTCGGAGCCTGGGTGCCCTTTGCTGGTCTCTGCCTCCTGGGTGTCCCTGCCCACCTGGTGCCCTTTTCTGCAGCACTGAAACCACCGGGCAGGTCCCCGTCCTGCCCCGGGTCTGCTGGGTGCCCCGTGAGGCCGCGCACGGCCCCAGGCCGATCTTGTCCCTGCTGCTCCCCCCGGGGTGTTTGAGGAACGCGGGTGTCTCGCCCTGTGTCAAAAGTCCCTTTGTACAGGGAAGACCCAGATCCAGTCTGTGGAGCCTTACACCAAGCAGCAGCTGAACAACATGTCATTTGCGGAGATCATCATGGGCTACAAAATCATGGATGCCACCAACATCCTGGTGTCCCCACTGGTGTACCTGTACCCAGACATCCCCAAGGAGGAGGCGTTTGGGAAGTACTGCCGCTCCGAGAGCCAGGAGCACTCCGAAGCCACCGACTCAGGTAGTCGTTGACTTTCTGTGCTCCGGCACGACTGCCGTGGCGTGGGGAGGCTGCAGGGACAGCGCTGGTGGAAGAGCTGTCGCCAGCCAGGATCCTGCGCCGGTCCCTGGAGGGTGCAGCCACGGTGTGGGACGAGCGGCGGGGTCCCCGTGGGGTGTGGGTGGCGAGGGCTGGGCGCGTGGGTGCTGTGCACGGGGCGGGGGGAGCAGAGCTGGGGGGGGGCTCCTCTGGCGGCGGCTGGTGACGAGGCTGCTCGCTCCTCTGCAGGTGCTGCTCCGTATCTGAAGACCAAGTTCATCTGTGTCACCCCGTGAGTGTTCCTGGGGGGTGTCTGAGTGCGCGGGGCGGGGCGGGGAGTGTCATTTGTATGCTCAGCCTCGCTTGAGGGGGGGGTTCCCTTCCCACCACTGCCTGGACTCTACCGGGGTGTCGCGAGGTTCCCAGCACGGGGGGGGCCCGGGGGGCCGAGCCGGGCTCCGGCTCGCTGCCCTGACCGCAGGCTTGTTCTTCCCCGCCTGGGGCCCCCTTCCTCCGGAGAGCTCCCGGCTCCCGCTGCGCCGTGCCTGGGGCCCGTCGGTGGGGAGGGGGGGTGGGAGAGCTGTGGCCAGGCCCTGACGCCGGAGGTGTCTGTGCTTTTCCCTTCCTCCCTCGCACAGCACCTCCTTCAGCAACACCATCGACCTGCCCATGTCCCCGCGCACCCTGGACTCGCTCATGCAGTTTGGCAACAGCAGTGAGGGAGCAGAGGCCAATGCAGGAGGGCAGTTCGGTGAGTCTGGTGCGACGCGGCCCCCCGAGGGGGTCCTGGCTGCCGCCACGCCGGGGCCCCGTAACCGCCGGCGGTGTCTCCCCGCAGAGTCGCTGACCTTCGACATGGAGGTGACGCCGGAGTGTGCTTCTTCACCAATGTGAGGTGCTCCGCCGGCGCTCGGGGGGGCCCTCCCAGGACTGGGGTTCCCGCCTCCAAAGAGCTGCCCCCCTCCCGCCCTGCTCGGTCGCGGCTGCTCTGGGCCTTTTCTCGGGAGGAGCCGGGGGCCGGGGCCCTTGCCACCGACTCCTTGTTTGACCCAAACGAACGCCCCCCCTCTCCAGGGCGGTGCCGTTCGTCTCTTAGGGGGGAGGGGGGATGAACCTTTTTCTATTTCCTTCCATAACAGTTTTTTATTATTATTTCGCTCATTCAAGTGCCTATTAGCCTCCGATTACAGCCTCAGTTTTTACAAACGCTTCTGCAGCCCGGGTCGTGCTGCCTGCTGCTGGAAGCTGCTTTCCCAACTGCCAGGGGCCAAAAGCCCCTGAAGATCGTGTGAGCCCGGGCGAGCCCCCGCAGCCCCCCGGCTGGCCCAGGGCTCCCCTCTGCCCCCCGCCCCGGGGCTGCGCGGCGGAGGGGCTCGGCCTGGGCTTCGCTGGGAGTTTCGGTGGCTGCCGCCAGCTTCCTGCTGCGGGCGCGGAGATCCGGCCGGCTCCAGCAGCCCCAGGGCTCCTGCTGGGGCGACTGGTTTCTCTAGGGTGCAAAGGCTGCCCTGGGGCAGGGCAGGGATGTGTCCCAACACCGGCCGTGCTTGTGAGCCTGCAGCATTTGCACCTTGGGTCTGGTTTGGGACCTGGGCGTAACCCCCGAGGCCGCCCCAAGCGTGGCTGGCCCCGTGGCCGGGCTGGTGCCCAGGGCAGGGCTGCGCGTCCCTGGCTGGGCAGAATTAGACCTGTTAGGAGGGGGGGGGGGCTGCGGGATCCAACGTGACCTGCAGTGGGTGGCCTGGCCCAGCCCTTTTCCCTCAGTTAGGGCTTGTGATGTCCCAGGCAGTGGGTTTGCAGCTTCTTGGGGGCTTTGCGTGGCATTTTTGTTGGAGGTTGGCTGTCGCTGTTGAGGTAGGAGGTGGCAAGAGCTGAAGGGAGCAGGGTGAAGGGAGGGAGAGGAGCCTGCTGTTGGCCAGCGCTCGGCAGGGCTGTGGGCGTTGCAAAGGGCAGGTTTGCTTGCTCGGGGGGGGTCGAGGAAAGGTGGAAGCGATGGTTGTGGTTCTGTATTTACCAAAGTAGGGGGAGCCCCCCTGCCCTTTTCAGGCCATGGGTGTGCAGGCGCTGCGGAGCGAGGAGGGGCACTGGTGTTAACGGGGCGGCGGCGGGGCGGCACGAGGGAGCTGTCGGCTCTGAGGCCGCGGGTGACACCAGCAGAGAAACGTCTTACTGGGCACCAGCCCCCGAGCTTCACCCTCTCAGATGTGTCCTGATTTGGCCCTGCGGGGAGAGGAACCCTCAATCCTCTGTACCTGTTGGGCAGGGGGCACCCGGGGTGTGGCTCTGGCTTTTCTGCCCAGTAAAGACCGTGGGGTGTCCCCCCAGTATCCCAGCCTGCGGGCAGGGAGGCAGAGGGCAGGGGCCAGGGTCCCCAGGGGAAGGGAGAGGGGGGCTGTGGGGTCCGGGCCAGCCCCCTTAGCTGTGTGTGGGCAGGAGTGGGGGGGGCCCTGGGGAAGGACTGGCCTTTGAAGGTGGGAGGTGCTCAGAGGGGACGAGGGCCGTGTGCCCCCATGCTCATGTGTAGCTGCCTCCAGTTGCAGTCACTGTAGCCCTGGGCAGCCTTCAATACTGTAAAAAAATTTATTTTTTTGTATATTTTATTGCTGTATCTACAGGCTTTAACTTTCTCCAAAATAAAGGCTCTGAAGCGCCGTGCTCTGGGGGTGTGAGTTCAGCTGTCTGCGTGCAGCGCCTGCCTCGCCCCGCTCCGGGAACTGGGGCCTCCGTCAGCGAAACGCCGGCCCTGACGCCAGAGCTGCGGTTTGCTCGGTGCGAACCCCCCCCCCGCCCCCCCGCTGCCCGGCACGCGTGGGCCGCCCGCGGCATCGCGGCACGGCCCAGCCCTGGGCGGGGGCGCGGGGCGGCGCTGGCGCTGGCGCTGGGGGGGAGCACCGCAGCCCGGGACGGTTTCTGCGCAGCGCCTGGGTCTCCTCTGCTTGCGTAAAGGAAACTCCAGGGCCGGCGTGGGAGGACGGGGCTGCGCCGGGGCCCTGGGACGCTGCTCCCTGCACCCCCACCCCGCTGCCCGTCCCCCCGCGGGGTCGGGGGGCTCGGGGTGGAGGTGACTTTGGGGAGGGGGGTGTGTGTGTGTGTGTGTCTGTCCTGCCCTCCCCTGGGGATGTGCTGGTGTCTCCTCGCTGTGGGCAGCGGGTCCCAGGCTCAGGGGGACAAGGGGGGACAGGGACGTGCTGCCCGTGGAGCGGCAGCCGCTCCCCCAGGGCTGCGGGATCGGCGCTGCCGTGGAGCAGCAGGATCCTGGCAGGGTTTGGGCTCTGATGAGGCCGAGAGGGAGAGATTATTGCCCTCGCTGAGCAGGATTAGCAGGGGGATTTTCATGCAGGTCACGCTCAATAAATCCGCCCCCAGCCCCTGGGGAACCGGCTGTGCTGGGCTGGCTCGAGGCGCTGGAGATGGGCTCCTGGGCTCTCCCCCACCCGGGAGCCTCCTGCTCGCGTTCGGGCTAAAGGCGGAGGCCGTGGGGTGTCCCTGCTCTGGGAGCCAGCCCCACCACGACCCCCTGCGTCCCCTCAAACCCCAGCAGGGCTCTGCAGGGACCTGTTTGCCCATTGCCCTGTGGCAAGGCCGGGGATCGTGCGCCCGCTCCCGGCAGCGGGGCCTGTGGGGGGGTGGCTCACACGGGAACAGGGCTCAGCCCCAGGGACCCCCCCTCTCCTTCCCTGGCCTCTCCCAGCTCCAGGATGGGGTGGAAAACCCCGGAACAAGGAATTTTCCTACTGATACGCAAACCCTGGGGTTGCCACAGCCGTTTGCTGTCAGGAACGCAGCATCTCGTCCCGCGCTCCTGCAGATAAGTGGTTTCTTATCTCCCTGCACCCACAAGCCCTCCTGCATCGCTGTCGGAACCTGCCCTGCTCCGCGGGTTTAGCCCAGGGCCCTGGCCCTTGAATAATTGGGTTAATTGGCTGCTGATCTGATCTCAGGGGTTGCTGCTGCGAAGGCTCTGGTTGGCAGCACAGCTGGCAAGCGCCGTGGCCTGATTTGCAGCAGGAGAAAGCGGCTGGGGAAGGTCCCTGGGCTGGCTGGACCCCTGCAGCACAGAGGGGACACTTCCCACCCCCCTGCTCCCCTGGCCAGCCCCGGGGGGCTGCTGGGCTCCCCGCTTCCTCCCCGTGCCGGGTGCTGCAGCGGGACCCGGGTGCTGAGGCAATGGGGTTGTTTGTGGCTCTGAAAGGAGGTCACGGGGGTGGCTTCGCTCCTTCCCCAGGGCCGTGGCCGCCCCCTCCAGCAGCACAGCGGGGACGGTGCCTCAGCCAAACGTGCCAACGGATTCGGGGTTTCCAAATGCAGACAAGCTGCTTGGGACGCAGCCGCGTGCGTGACGGGCACAGGGCGGCCCCGTGCGCAGGGACCCCAGGGCAGGTGGCTGTTGGCACGGGGGAGCTGGCAGCTCTCGGGGGGGCCCAGCTGTACCCAGCCAAGCCCTGGGGTCCCACTGGCTCCAGGCAAGTCCAGCCTGTGCAGTATTGACAGTTCTTTGGGAATAAACCTGCAGATGGGGATTAGAGAGGCGGCAGCACCGATTACAGCCCCAGGGCCGAGCAACAACTAGCAGTGCTGTGAGAGAGGGGGTGGGGGGTGGGAGGCAGAGACCCCCGGGGCTTGGCCACCTTCTGCCCGAGGACCTGCCCGAGGCTCTCCTTCTCCATCCGCCCGGGCGCTGCGCAGGATCTTCCCGCAGGGACTCGGCTCTGAAGGCCCCGTGGCACCGAGCCGGTGCCGGCCGCGCAGCCCAGGCTGTGCCCCGGCGGTGGGGCCGCGGCAATGCCGAGGGCTGCCCGGCTCGGCGGGGAAAGCGCAGGGCTACGCGGGGCCGCAGCCGGCGCTGGGTGCCTGCGCTGAGCACCCCGCTCCCTGACTGCTGTTGCAATGACCCCGGCGGCTCCAATGAGGCAGGGAAAGCACAAGCCTCCCCCTCGCCCGGCCCAGCCGCCCCGGCAGGCTCCGTCGCGGCCGGCGTTCCCCTCTCCCGAGCGCGGTGGGTTGGGATCGCAGGGGCAGAGGCGCGTCCCTGGGGCCGCAGCCGGAGCAGCCCCCCCCCGGCACGCCGGCTGCACCCAGGGCAGCGAGTTCCAGGGTGCCGAGGGCAGGCTGGAGCGTTGGCCCACGGCTCTGCCGGGTGCTGGTGCTGGTGCTGAGGAGCGCACGGGTGGCACGAAGGCCCCGGGCAGCGCAGGGGTTGGGTGCTGTGCCCTGGCCATCCCCCTGCGCCAGCCCCTGCCCGGCCCCATGCCTGCACCCCCCCAGAGCTCGGGCAGGGCCGGCCGCAGCGAGGAGATGCTGCTCTGGACCTGCTGGTTTGTGCGCTGCCGCCTCCTCCTCCATCCTTCGTCGGTCCGGCCTCGTGCTGCTGTCGTGGTGGAAGGGGGAGCGGGCGATGGGATGCTCCGCTCCAAATGCCCGTCTAAGCCTCCTCCTCGTCACACCCTTGTCGCAGGTGGCTGGGAACTGAGCCGCAGAGCACAAGCCGTCGCTGCCCAAGCCAGATGCCATCCCTGCCTCCCAACGCCCATAAACCAACAGTCAAATATTGCATCACTCTCAAACTTTAATACGCAGCAGAGCTGAGCCAAGCAAGGTCTTGGTGGCGGCGTGCGCTGCCAGGTGTGGCAGGGGTCAGACCTGGAGCTCCAGCACAGCGCGGTCCCCAAGTGCCGCCGTCTGCCAGCCCCGCCGGTGGCTGCCATGCCGGAGGGACACGACCTGCCTGTTTTCCTGCATCCATCCCATCCTGGCTCAGAGCGTGGCATTTGGCTGTGCCGGCACCAACCCCAAGGGCTCAGCTCGCCCCAGCGCAGGGCAAAGGGCCCTGGGCTGGACCCGCCGCGGCCCCTGGCCCTCCCCTCGCACCGATGCTGCTTCCAGGCTCAGCTGCTTGGGAGGATGGTGGGGTTCAACCGAAATTGGTTTCTGAGCCCTGCATGCTCCGAGCTGCCAGCCCGCTGAGGGGGGGCTCCTCGGGTGAGGTTTTTCCCCTATTTTCCCTCCAGAGGTGCAGTTTCCTCGGTGTCAGTCAGCACAAGGCCTGGCAATTAGCACCACACCACCATTAGTGGGGGCAGGGGCCCTCTGCATCCCTCTGCCTTCATCCCGGCACATCAGCTCCGCGGGAACCCTGCCAGCACGGGGAGTGCGAACCGTCCCCCCCACCGCCCCCAGAGCCAGGCGCCCACTCGGACCCCGGCTGCTGCACCCCATAGGCAGTGCCCCACAACGGCCCCCCGGCCCCCACCTCACCCCACTACCAGCTCCTTTCCCCTGGGCGCTGCCCCCTCCCCATCTCCTCCAGCTCCAGCTGCCGTGGGGGCAGCGCCCAGCCCTGGGGGGGTGGGTTCGGGGCTGCTCTCACTTTTGGGTTCCTGCTCTCACTCCCCTCATGCTTCCTCCTTGGCCCGGACTGCCGGTTCCCATTCCTGCTGCCTCAGACCCCGGCCCATGCCCCGTGCCCACCCCCGTGCCGGGGGGCAGGGACCCCGGCTCTGTCTGCAGAATTGCCGTGGGGCCTCGGTCTCGCTGGGGCGGCTGCGGCGCCACCCGGTCCCGGTGTCGGTGCCGGTGCAGCCGCTGCTGAACCGAGCTGAGCCGCGGCAGCGTGTTTATGGCAGGAGCCGGCTGGGACCGAGCGGTTACTGTGGCAACCCGGACTCTGCCGAGGGGAGCTCCGGCGAGTGCGGGGATGTGCGGGTGGCAAGTGCTGCCCCGGTGCCCCCGCTCCCGACGCCCCCCAGCCAGCCCCAGCCCTGGGGTGGGCACGAGATGCCCCTGCCCTCGGTCCCGGCTGGGCCCCCCTGGGATGCAGCGGCACTCACTGGGCTGATGGGGGGCTCCGGTTCCCATCGCAGACCCAGACGGGCTGTTATTGCCCCATGTTCTTCCGTGGGCAGAAACCTGGGTGTTTATTCTGAGCTGGATGAATGATGAGAGGGAACAAAGAGCCTTTGCCCAGGCAATAATGCCCGTTGGCTGCCGAGACCAAGCGAGTGCTGTGGTTGTTCCCAGCTATATCCGAGTGGCTGGAAGCAGAGGTTTCCTGTGGAAATTCCCCCTCGGACAAAACACCATTTCCCAGGTTTTTGCTGGAGCAGGTCCTCCCCTCCCACTGGCTCAAGGAGTTGTGGGGCTGAGCCTGCGCTGGTGCTGAGCTTCCGACGGTGACGAGCTTCCCGGACAGCCCCGGTTCTCCCCTGCCCGTCGGCTCTGAGTCACGGGCCAGGCAGGGTTCGTGCTGCCCGCTCCATCCCTTGGCCAGCCGCCGGCCCTGCTCTCCGCAAGCAGCCCCCTCCCTCCCGGGGGGGCCAGTGCCTCACGGGGCCCATCCGGGCTGGCTCTCCGGTGGGACGTCCCTTCGCATCCCTCAGCCGCAGCAGAAATAGCCCAGCCGGCTCCAGGCCAACCCCTCTGCGTCACGCCGGGGTCCCGAGGGACGGCAGAGCCACCGTGGCACGGGCGGGCCGTTCCCTCTGCCCCGGCTTGGGCAGCACTGGGTGCATCCCTCTCTCCTTGGAGGAGGATTTATGGTCCGTGTCAGGGAAATCGGGATGTGCCGTGCCTGGGCACCAGGACAGCACCTTCCTCCGGGGTGGCCGGGCTGGGGCAGACCCACAGCTGCCCTGGGAAGCGGGACCGCAAGGCAACGGCCTCTGC